TTGGGATTGGAGAACCCCAAAATTTGGAGTTTTAGAGGAGGGAAGCCACAAAATTCAGAGCCAGGGAGCCCCAAAATGTGAATTTGGGGAGGGAAAACCCCAAAATTTGGATCTAGGAGAGCCCCAAAATTCAGATTTTTGGGGTGGGAATCCCAAAATTTGAGCTGGGAATTGGGGGAGCCCCAAAATTTGGAGGTTTGGGATTGGGGAACCCCAAACTTTGGAGCCAGGGAGCCCCGAAAATGGGGAATTTGGGGAGGGGGAGGGGATTTTTGAGGAGATTCCGGATTTTTCCGCAGCCTCCGGAGCGATGGCGCCGCTGCAGGTAGGGCTGGAACCCGGGGGAATTTGGGGTTTTAAATTTGTAAATTTGGGGGGAAAAATAATAAAAGGGGGATTTTTTTTCACTAGAGTCCAAAAATCGCAATTTTTTTTTTATTTTTATTTTTTTATTTTTCAATTTAAATTTTTTTAATAATTAATTTTTAATTTTCTACTTTAAAATTTTTAAATTCTAATTTCTAAACTTAATTTTAATTTCTTAATTTTTAATTTATTATTTTTAAAGTATTTTAATTTTTAATATTTAATTTTTTAAATTTCTAATTTTTCAATTTTTAATTTTTAAATCCTTAACTTTTTAATTTTTTATTTTTTAAATTCTTACTTTTTAGTTTTTAAATTTTTTATGTTTTAATTTTAATTTAATGTTTTTGTTTTCATTTTCTATTAATTTTTAATTTTCTATTTTTAAAAAAATTCTTTATTTTTAAATTTTTTTGTTTTAATTTTCATTTAATTTAATCTTTTTGTTTTCATTGTCTATTATTTTTAATTTTTAATTTTAACTTTCTAATTTTTTTAAATTCTTAATTTTTATTTTTTAAATTTTTTGTTTTAATTTTCATTTCATTTAATGTTTCAGTTTTCATTTTCTATTAATTTTTAATTTTTAATTTTAACTTTCTAATTTTTTTAAATTCTTAATTTTTATTTTTTAAATTTTTTGTTTTAATTTTCATTTCATTTAATGTTTCAGTTTTCATTTTCTATTAATTTTTAATTTTTAATTTTAACTTTCTAATTTTTTTTTAGAAATTCTTAATTTTTAGTTTTAAAATTTTTTATGTTTTAATTTTTATTTAATTGAATGTTTCAGTTTTCATTTTCTATTATTTTTTAATTTTAAATTTAATTATTTTCTAGTTTTTATAACTTCTTAAAATTTTTAATATTTTAATTTTTAACTTTAATTTTTAAAATTTTAATTTTTTAATTTATTTTTTAATTTTAATTTTTTATTTTAAATTTTTTTTTAATTTTTTATTTTAATTTTTTATTTTCATTTTTTTATTTTAATTTTTTATTTTAATTTTTTTATTTTAATTTTTTAATTTTTAAAATTTTTTTAATTTTTAAATTTATTTTAAAATTTTTTTTAAATTTTTAATTTTAAATTTAATTATTTTCTAGTTTTTATAACTTCTTAAAATTTTTAATATTTTAATTTTTAACTTTAATTTTTAAAATTTTAATTTTTAAATTTATTTTTTAATTTCAATTTTTTATTTTAAATTTTTTATTTTAGATTTTTTATTTTAATTTTTTTATTTTAATTTTTATTTTAATTTTTTATTTAATTTTTTAATTTTTAAAATTTTTTAATTTTTAAATTTATTTTAAAATTTTTTTAAAATTTTTTTTTATTTTCAAGCCTTTAATTAATAATTTTATTTTTTTTTAACAAAAACTCGGGGAAATAACGGAAGGAACGGAATGGA